AAATCTGTCGTTTACAAAAATTGTTCTCGTTAGAATTTCGTGAACGATGAACTGACTTGTCGGGGAGCAAATAGTTCGTATAATAGGAGTTGGATAAATGGATTCAACCAGCAAGGGTTCGTTTAATCGAGCATTTATCGAAAATTTGATTCAAATAAACAGAGTTTATATTCAAACAAACAAAGAATCCTACTGCATTACGGAATGAAAATCTCGAGGATCTACGTTTGATTGAAATTAGTTGAGTTAATCTTTGAAGATTGTTTCAGTGTACATGGGTTGCAAATATTCCATTGATGTAAAATGAAAGAAAAGAGATGTTTTTGAAGTTATATGGAAGAAGCATAACTTTAAATTGCATTATCTCAAAATGTAGAATATCTGAAATGGGAAAATTTATGTGGATGCTCGTGAATCCTTAATAGAAAGTAACTTTTATTAACTACAAATAATTTTATTGACTACGAATAATGTATATATTTTATGTTTCTTCATTACGTTTCTTTATTAAATACTTACTTAAGTATAAGTAACATACGAATATTAACTTTTCTCTAGAGAATCCAAGAAACAATATTCGTGATTGAACAAAAATTACAATCTAATTATCAGATCAGTCATCTCGCTGCATCTCTATGTGTGTACTACCGAATTATTTGAGGTCATTATTCAATGATAATATATCAATATATAGTAAATTATGATATAAAGTCAAAACTAAGCTTTTCCATAATTACAGTGTCGGAAAAGAATATCTGTTAATAACAGATGATTTTTTAATTAAGATTTTTACTTTCAGACATTCTATTCTGATAATGTAACATTGAAATATTGGAGAATGTTCGGATAAAACAGGCTCTACTAGTTTTGGAGTGGTTTGAATCAGAATTGTGAATTACGAAAGTAAATATTTATTCAATAATATATTTTTTTAATATTAATCAACTCCATAAATTAAAATGTAAAAGAAAATAACAATTATAAACATTATTTCTGAAAATTTATCTTTAAATTCGCAATTATCTATGCTATCTCTGTTTAACAAATAAAATGATGAAAATAAGTCTGTTAAATATTAATCGCGTGCTTGGTTAATAAAATTTAGAACTTTATACGAAGTGAAATTTATCAGTTTGACTTTTGATGAAATGATGCGTTTTGTAAATATTGCATTTAATTGAAACATATGAAACTTTAAACAATTTTATCGTATACAGTTTATTTATCTTATTTATTACATGTTTGTTATTTTAAATATTCCATTATTTGAATTTAAAATATAAAGATATTTATAATACACTGAGTTTCTAGTGCAAGATTCTGATTTGTAAGCGTAAATTACTTTGCTTTATGTAATTCTTAACTTTCGCACTGCTTAATGCAGTGAAATATTTCGACGTCAAGTTGTTTCCAAGATAGATCTTTTGCGCCAAGATATGTATTTCTTGTATACGAAATTTAGAATAATATATTTCTCAAATAAGATTTTGAAACTCATTTACAAATTTTGTCTTCAACGAAATTTACTCATTTTATTTGATTTAATTATTTGACACTTTTATTTATTGCTTCCAATTAAATTAAGCGCATTAAAAATTTTCTTTGAATAATTTGTTTGACAAATCAAATTTTGAGGCTTTTTCGCGAATAACTTTATTTTTAACGAAATTCATTTCTTACTTTATTTGAAGTAATTATTTTATGTTCTTCCGTATTCGTTTCAATCCTCAGTTCAAACTTTATTGCATGATTAGACTACGGATATTTATGCAATTTTATATTTCTATAAAGATAATTACAGAATATTGAATATCACGATAAAACTCCTACTTTGAATATTTCATATATTTTTCCATATTATATGCATATGTAGATTTTGAAAAAGTATAATATATTTTAACGGGAGTTAGAGACATTCATATGTATATATATTGTATTTTGGCAAATTATTAATCAATTTAGATAAACATAACTGTTCCTAATAAAACTGGTCTCCAATTTTTATCTATTGCCTTTTTTTCACGCAAAACGCAAATTTCGAAAAGTGTATTTTTATCCTTAATAATAAGAAATGCGCTCCTATTTCGATTAACAAAATCGAGAGTTCTTGCAGAACAGAAAAGAAATAATTAACTCGTTTCTGGAAGGGTCATTATCGAATACACAAGATTAGCGAGTACAAGATTAATCGAGCGACAGATCAACTTGGACGGCTTGAGATGCGAGAAGAGTTTCTAGTTTCATAGACACCGGTAATGCGGGCCAAATTATTATACTTCACGCGTTACATCCAAATTCAAGAAAAGACATATCGCTGCTGAGAAATTCAAAATAGCAATCGAAGAATGTTTGTTGCAATTCGAAGAATGTTATATCAATACGATAATCTTTGCCCGTCCACAACTCCCGTTAGAAGTTCTCTCAAGCTTTTACATTCGAAATTACTTCCCAAAATTTTCACCTTTGACTTTCGGAAGTTTTGAACAGACTCGAATACCGATGTCGAATCGCGATCATTTATCAATCGATAAATCGGCGCATTAACTGAGAACAAATGGTTCGGGGCAATTGGTATATTTTCGTGGAATCTGTGGACTCCAAACCGCGGGTTTTCAGGATTTTCCAAGACGTCCAAGGCCGAATAATGACGCAACACCTCTATTATTAATGCGACTCTTGGCTCGAAAATAGGTGAACCAGTTATCTTGGTAATCGGTTATTATGTTTGGCATCTAATAGCGAAAACGTACACGTTTGATTCACGATGCGCAAGCCGAATTAAAAAACAACTTATCCAAGCGCCTCCCAAGTTGATGAGAAATTGCTCAACTTCAGCAGCGATAAGAAAAGAATTCATGATTTAGAAAATTATCGAATTTAAATTTGAATTAAAATCTATTTAATTGACTCTTTATATTTATTGTTATATTATTGTATTTATTAATTAATAATATATATCGATAAAAATATTAATTAATTAATATTCAATATTTACATAATATTTAACAATTAATACTGATTAACTGATTTATATTTAATTGATGTTAATGTAACGTTTCAATGTAACAAAAACATCACAGTTGAAATATAGTCAAATATACAATATTATACTCATTGTAATAAAATGTGTAAGTCTGATCGTTTTATGAATTTTTGTACAGTGGTAGAGCTTGGAAAATTATCATTATCAAATAATATGTAATTTTGGAAATATAGTAGATTGACTCGGATGAATTTCCATTCAACTCTTAAGTACCGTAAACATTAAAACTTATACAACTACGATAGAAGATCTCGAATGATGATCAAATTCAATTGTTTTTGCTTCTATAATATTAATACATCCTCAAGTGAAATCATTGGATCACAGATGACAATAATAGCTTATGTAGAATTATTAAAATTTATATTTACTGTTATTTTGTATTTCATATTTCGCGTGTTAGAGATTAATATTAATAGTAAAATTCGATTAAAAATTTTAAAATTAAGTAAGTAATTTAATCTTGAATTATCACGTGTAAACTGTTCTTAATAGTTACGAGTTAATAATTACTTTATACATTAATAATGTGTTTAAAAACATATAAAATAAAAGTACCAAAGAAGGGAAACAAAAGCATGTAAATAAAATTGTACTTTATAAAATTTTTATGCACTAATAAATGAACATTGGAAGTCGTCTCGCAGATGATCTGTATCACACATACCGGCATTAAGACTTTCACAATTATGTACAGAGTTTCACAGACCGTTAATAACATTAATTGCGTTATTACGTACGTAATTGTCAAGGTGTCCCTACTTTATGTTATTTAGTTGAATAACGTCAAATTTATTAAAAGATGTGAAATAACGTAAAAAGAGAAACAAGGTCTTGCAGATGGTCTATGGTACTTAACAGTTAAGTATGATTCAAACGTCAGAGAAGAAATACGAAGGGGAGCGCACAAAATCCAAGCAAAGAAATGGAAATCAGAACGAATACACCGAATGTTACAACGTCACAGTAAGAATTGGCAACGAGCCCCGAAACATTCCTGAGATTGCTCGGCTTCGTAACGCCCGATCTCATTCTGCCCCTTTCCTGTGCTTCATTTTCACTTTCGTTAATATCAACCCCACTCCGCTTGTTTAAATCCAGCATGACTCGGCTCATTAATTTCTTTAAGATTATCCTCTAGTAAGAAAATTCAACTGAAGGAAGCAAAAGTATAAAATACAACTTGCACAAATCGATCAAATAAATAAATTGATAAAAGAAATTGATGTGAATAGGTAAATAAGAAAACATAGCAGATTCTTGCAAATTTATCTATTAATACAGTATTAAAGAAAAGAAAACAAATTAGAGAAAAGTAAAATAGAAAAAGAATTATTCGTTATTTCATATTATTTCATATATTTCAAATTATTATTTCATATATTTCAAAAAAAAAAAAAATAACAATAATAATAATGAAGATTTAGAAAAATCAAACTAAATTTTATTCATTACCGGTAATTGCATGATCAACTGAGTACAATCGACCCGAATTGTAAATCCAAGAGATATACTTTGTAATTATAAAAAAATATTACTTCGCATATTTTATTTTACAAAGAAAATAATAAAGGTTAAATTTTATTCGTTGTCGGTGTGTACGAAATTCAAAACAATCAATCTAAACCAAAAACAGATAAGAATACGTTAAATAAATAATTACGTAGTCAAATAAGAAACTGTATAAATACATTTTCTAATCGTCAATTGATACGACGTATTAAAATTCACATAAACGGTGGAACTGTTTGTCGCGTGTAAAAGGACATATAGTGTAAATCGGGGGGGATGAGTGTAATTCGAACAAAATTCGCTCAACGATCAAGGTTCGGATTAAAAAGAAGGCCGATGTAGGTTAACGACCTCGATTTCAGTTCTGCGAAATTAAGATCCAAGTCGACC